TTTAGAAAAAACAGATTCGTCTTGTAACTCAGCCAAGTTCCTAGTTTAATACCTGTAGAAACAACAACAGAATGAAAGACAGCATTACCTAATAAAGATGGTTCCTAGAATGACTTCCAAAAAGGATTAAATTAGGGCATGCCTCTCACAGTCTCAAACATGCTCTTTCTAATGCATATTTTTCCAGAAATGCAGTGTACAAAGTTGAGAGGGCCTGACCACAACACAAATTTGAGTAAAGTTGAAGAAATCTGCCACTGGCATTTATTTTCATGTGACAGAATTTTAAAATCATCTCCCATTATTCATCTGCTTCCTGAGTACCAACATGGGGTCTCATTCAATGGAGCTATGGTTGGGACCTCTGTATTCTCAGAAATCTGACCTCTAATATTGTTAGAAGTTCCTCCTATTAGGTAGATGCCTAATATGGGGAGAACTCCTGACTCCAGCTGTCAATGAGGAGATGTACCTTCCCCAGTCCATAAACTCAAACTGAAGCTCACTGCTATGGAGTCTGTTCCAACTCATAATCATCCTTCATTGGGTTTCCAAAGATATAGATCTTGGGAGGAGAATGCTCATCTTTCTCCCATGGAGCCACAGGGAAATTCAAAACTAGAGATGCGTAGCCTTTGGGTTTGCGGTTCAACTCACTGTGGACTGACACCTCATGCCAGAAGAGATGGACTCAAACAGAGCTTTTAAAAACACTGCATTTTCCAAGTTTTAAATTAGTACATTTATATTAGACAGAGATAAAGCTTATTTTTCTAAGGAAAAAATGTGAATATTTGAAACCGTATAGCAGTTCCATGGCATTTGTAATGAGCAATTTTTTTTTTTCTGGTCCTGATTCACGGTTTAATGGTTGTCCAGCTGTAAGTCCCTTATTTCTGCCGCTCACGGTTCCACTGCTCCGGGGTCAGAGTCTTCTGTTCAAAGGCATGGATGTGCGGGAGCTCTTCTGCTAGGCATGAGTTCACCAGCCGGTGTCTCTGGAGCAACGGCTTCCCCTCGAACTTGGAGGACACCACCAGGACTCGGAAGCTGGACGCGCAAAGGTTCAGAGTCGTGTCCTCCACCTCCACGTGCTCTGCTTCCAGCTCCCGCTGCAGCTTCTCCCGGAGAAAATCAGCGCTGAGATCCATTGCTGCAGCCCAGAATGGGCGGCAGCCCGGGGGACCGGAGCCCAGCAAGGACCCGGCCACTGTAATGAGCAATTTTATGGCTTTTCAACAGGAGCTTTGGTGGCCTAGTATTAAGAAGCTGCACTGCCAACCCAAAAGCACACGCTTTGAAGTCACCAGCTGCTCTACAGGACAAGGATGAGAAATCTCCTCCCATGTGATTTACTGCCTCTGAAAGCCTGCTGGAGGCTCAGCCATTGGTCAGTTCTGACTCAGTGGTACACAACAACATAGATATAGTTCAAAGATTGTCAGTAATAAAGTTTTAAATAGCAGCAATAAATCTTACATACCATAGGAGGGTTCCCAGAGAATTCTGGAATTGGGCAGTCTGGTCTTTTCCCCCACTCTGTGATATATTGAGAACAATGGCGTGGGTTGTGCTCCTTCAAACTGTCTTCCGTCTGTCCACGCACAATCCGACTGGGGAGAAAATGTAAGTCCAGGTCATTTAGTAAGAAGAAATTAAGTTCTTTATTTCTCTGGAGATTTGGGGTACATGCAAGTCATCTATACCTTTACTTAAATACGATATATTCCTGCTCCTTCCAAATAGACTAAGGGAAGGGAAAGAAAAAAAATGTATGATTGTAAGCAATAGGAAACAATAACAATTATAATCTCACACGTAGAATGGCACAAGACTATAATGTAGGGCCGCCGGGCCGCCCGGGCCCGAAGCTCCCGGACCCATGTGGAAGCTGCTTCCCGACACGGGCTCGGCCCGAGAAGAAACATACAGACTTTTGACTGGTGTTGAATACATTGTTGGAAGGAAAAACTGTGGCATTCTGATTGACAACGATCAGTCCATTAGTCGAAATCATGCCGTCTTAACTACTAACTTTCCTGGAACCAAATTGAGTCAGACAAATGAAATCCCTGTATTGACAATAAAATATAATTCTAAGTATGGGACCTTTGTTAATGAAGAGAAAATGCAGAATTGTGTTTCTAAAACTTTGAAGACAGGGGACAGAGTTACCTTTGGTGTTTTTGACAGTAAATTCAGGGTGGAGTATGAACCATTGGTTGCCTGCTCTTCTTGTTTAGATGCCACTGGGAAAATGGCTTTAAATGAAGCAATTTTTCAACTTGGAGGACTTTGTGTGAACAGTTGGACAGAAGAATGTACTCATCTTGTCATGATATCAGTTAAAGTGACCATTAAAACAATATGTGCACTCATTTGTGGACGTCCAATTGTAAAACCAGACTACTTTGCTGAATATCTCAAAGCAGTTCAGTCCAAAAAACCACCTCCACAAATGGAAAGTTTTTACCCACCCATTGATGAACCAACTATCGGAAATAAAAATATTGATCTCTCAGGGCGACTGGAAAGGAAGCACATCTTCAAAGGGAAGACATTTGTATTTCTAAATGCCAAACAGCATAAAAAATTAAGTCCAGCAATTGATTTTGGAGGTGGGGAAACCAGATTGATAACAGAAGAAAATGAAGAAGAGGCTAGTTTCTTTTCAGCTCCTGGAACCTGTGTTGTTGAAGTAGGAATAACAAATTCACAGACTTTCATTTCTGACTCTCAGAAAAACTTGATTCCTTCAGTTATGGATATTCTCAAGAGGCAGGGTCTTAGACCCATTCCTGAATCAGAAATTGGACTGGCAGTTATTTTCATGACTACAGAGAATTATTGTGATCCTCAGGGCCAGCCTGCTATAGGATTAAAGCCAACCACTCCAGGTCCAAGCCTTTCCCAAGGCTCATCATTCAGTGAAAGACTAATGCCAACTGTCCCAGTGAACGCCACAACATATGTAGCTGGCACAGAATCAGAGCCAGCTGACACATGTATGGATTTTAGCGAAAGGCCAAACGAAATCAGAATCTCCAGGACAGAGCAAAAATTTGGAATGCTTTCACAAGAAATGTCCACTGTAAAGGACCCCGCCAAACCCAGCTATTATAAGAATAAAGTCTCAAATACCCTGAGTAAGATGAAAACCCCACACTGTCAGCTTTCACCAACTAAATCCCCAGGTGTGAGTAAAAGTAGAGACCGGGCTTCTCAGCAGCAGCAGACCAACTCCATCAAAAACTACTTTCAGCCTACAACCAAAAAAAGGGAAAGAGATGAAGAAAATCAAGAAACACCTTCATCCAAATCAGCAAGAATGGAAATGTCTTGTTCTCTTTTGGAGCAAACACAACCAACTACACTCTCAACATGGAAAAATAAGGAACAGCATCTGTCTCAGAGCGAACCTGTGGACAAAACATCAGAGAATTTATTTACAGATTTAAAATCTAGTATGAAAAACTCCACCAATCAGTCTCTTCCTGCAGAAAAACTAATATCAAAAAAAAAGAAAACAGACTGATGATTTAGAACTAGAAGATAAAGTATTAGAAGAGTTACTCAAGAACACAGAACCAGAGCTGGAAATTGAATTGAGTGTTAAAAAACAAGAGAAAGACATCAATGTCAGGAAAAAACCAAGGCTGATTAAAGAATCAGATGGTGGTTTTAATGATGACACACTTCCAGACAATAACAAAATACCTCCAGAGAGTGAAATCAAGAAGAAATGTAACATCAAAGAAGAATCAGTATGGTCAGCTAAAGAAAAGCTGTCTAACAATGATGAGCTTCAGGACGATGGGGAGATGCTTCCAAGGAATGTGATAGTGACTGACTTCAGGTCCTTGGTGGTTACTAACTCTACCTCCAGAAACCTATCCAGTGTACATGGAGATTATGGTCAGCTAAAAAATTTTAAGAAATTCAAAAAGGTCACATTTCCTGGAGCAGGGAAACTTCCACATATCATTGGAGGATCAGATCTAATAGCTCATCATGGGCGAAAAAAATGCAGAATTAGAAGAGTGGTTAAGGCAGGAAATGGAGGTGCAAAATCAACATGCAAAAGAAGAGTCTCTTGCCGATGATCTATTTAGATATAATCCTAATGTAAAAAGGAGAAGATAACGGAATTTTAAAAGCAGCTTTGGAGAAATACTTAATAGCAAGCATTACTATATATATATGAATGTAATGTATAGAACATTTCAAATACAAATATTTTATGACCTAAAATTGTTAAGCAAAATGTGCAAAATTCCACTTTTGGGGGGTGCCTTTGGAAAAGAAATAACATGCTTTGGATTTGCCATCTTAATCATCCAGTAAATTTTTAGTTATGATTAAAGTGTTTTTTAATTATTAAAAAAAAAGACTATAATGTAACACTACAAAAGATAATATACCCTGAGAAAATGAGAACTGAGGCACAAACGGAGACTTTTACATCAATGTTCATAGCAGCATTATTCACCATAGCAAGAACATGGAACCAGCCCAAATGCCCAACCATAATGGAATGGATTGAGAAATTATGATACATTCACACAATGGAATACCACACAGCTTCCAGAAGCAACGATTTTGTAAATTACTACCTAACATGGGAGGCACTAGAGAGAATTATCCTAAGTGAACTAACTCAGTCTCATAAAGGCAAATATTGTATAAGACCATCATTATAGAACAAGTATGAGGATCGGGGGGGGGAAAGGTTAATCATAGGGTTGCATAATTTGATGGGTGGAGGGAGGGTTGGGTAAAGGAAAGGGGAAAGATCCAGTGTGAAAAATAATGTATATGAACTTTATGAACTTTAGAAGTAAACCAGTATAAAATAAAATTTTCAAAAAGGAAAAATCTGGGGTTAGAAATGGAAGTTTTCTTAAAGGAAGTATATGTGTTATTGTTTCAAGTGTCATGTTCTCTTTATAAAGAAGGAAAAACATACACCAAACAACAAATCTAATGGGAATACTGCTAAACCACAGGGTACTTTCATGAAAATTAGGAGCTCTGGTGGCTTAGACAGTAATGAGTTGCACTGCCTAATCCAATCAACCAGCCACTGATTGGGGAAAGATAGCCAATCTGCTCCCTGTACCATCTTGGAAATCCAATAAATAGTCACTAAGAGTTGGAGACACTCGACAGCAATTTCCAGTTTCTGTGCTTGGTTCTTGCAGAGGAGAATAATGACAACTTGAGCATGTATTGTTTGCCAGGTCAACACAAGGAAATATACACAAATTATCCCATTTACCCCTCTTCTTGTTATGTGCCATCATGTTGCGAACCTATATACAATATCCCTAAACCCTGCTCTTTCTCTTGCCAATCTCACTGTCTCTGACACACCTATTCCCTTACCCCATTGATGGAATCAATCCATCTCATTGAGGGTCTTCTTCTCCTGCGCTGTCCCTCCACCTCCCAAGCATGATGTCCCTCTCCAAGGATTGGTCCCTCCTTGCAACATGACAAAGTATGTCAGACAAAGCTTCAGAATCCTTGTATCCAAGGAGCAGCCTGGCTTCACCCTCTTCAGGGTGAACTTTAGAAATTGTTTGTTCTCCTAGTAGTCTGTGGTATGTTCCGTACTCTTCTCCAGCACCACAGCTCAAAGGCATCAAATTCCTTCTATCATTCCTAGTCATTGTCCAGCTTTCTGAAGCATAGCAATAATAGAAAAGACCATGGGCTGTATCAGGCGCACCTTAGTCTCCAGACTGATATTATTGCTCCTCAGTACCTTGAAGAGGTCTTTGACAGCAGACTTTCCCAATGCAATTCATCTTTTGATTTCCTGGCTGCCACATATGGTTTACAAAAGCAGAATGCTTTATCTTTCTTCTATGGAGTAAAAATGTCAGTCTTTTCGTTAGCAACAGAAATCTTTAACTATAGTGACATCGCAGCTCCCCCAAGCCTTAAAGGTGCATTGTACATATGGGAACATCAAAACTTAGCAAAACCAGGGAATTTGAAGCTCAGTGATTTAGTGAAAAGATTCTGGACCAGAACTAGTCAGCTTTTAGTTCAAATCCCAGCTCTACCACAAAGTGGTTTGGTGGCCTTGGGCAAATCACAGAACCTTTGTTGTTGTTGTTGAGCCCCTGTTTTTCAGGTGCACAACAGGTAAATATCCACTGCTATTGAATCAGCTCTGACTCCTGGTGACCCTCCATTGGGTTTCTGAGGCTGTAAAATCTCTGTGGGAAGGAACTTCCCATTTTTTTCTTATAGAATGGCTTGTGGATTTGACTTATAGACCTTTCCGTTTTAAACATTCTTTCAGTTAATAGTACAATATTAACACGATCAGGTGTAATGTCATGAGCCATCAAGTCAAAACCGACCTATAGCTGAGCCTCCAGCAGGTTTTGAGAGTTAGTCAATTTCATGGGAGGAGATTGGCCATCCTTCTCTTGCAGAGCAGCTGGTGGATTTGAACCATGTGCCTTTGAGATTATTTCTTGGCACTAGGCCACCAGAGCACCCTAGTAGGTATGTTGTTGCCATTCTGTGTCATCAAGTTGACTAATGTGCAGAGCAACCTTGTGAACATTATCTCCGCACCTTGTCCTATCCTGAGCCAACCTCATCATCCATAGTGCCTAATGAAATAGACAAGGAGTGTTATGAATGAAACTCAAAGTTCTTAATGCCCAATTTCGCATAGAGAGTAAAAAGATGGAGGGGGAGGGGGAATCTTTAATTTATTTTCTCCTTTTATTTTCATTACTAGGACCAGAAATCAGGAAACTTAGATGTTAATCCCAATCCACACTTAACCATGAGACTGAACAATAATCTATCTTGCATAAGTGATTCTCCTTAAAGAAAGAGGAGTAACCATATCTTTTCTACCTGCTCCAAAGGAAGGCGATGATCTGTGAAGCTGTACAAACGTCAAGTATTGTTGTTGTTGTTGTTGTTGTTATGTGCCATCGAGTCGCCTGCGACTCATAGCGACCCTA